GAGGAAAAAAACATAAAAGAAAACACACCGTGAAGTCAATTTCCCAATTATGTTTCATTTCCTGTCCAGCCAACACACTTTTCCCCCCGTCATAAATCATAGGAAATATCAGTCACCATAAATCATACATGCAGATTTAAATCAGCTGTTTGTATAATCCAGCGCCTGTATCTCAGATGGACTAATGTGTGGAAATGTGTGATAATTAAAGCCAGCCGCGCTCTCTGTGGGGAACACTGTTTCCATTTAACAGCACTCTGCCTGAGTACCTCCTTCAGCAGGTTGTGACCGTGCTCACAGGCCGCAGTAGCATTGAGGAAAGTTCACTTGTTGTTTGCCGTGATGGAGACTCGTGATGTCAGAGAGCAGAACTTTCTCAGAGGATTTGAGAAAGGTTGCTGAAGCGTTTGGACTCCTTTAAACTTAATGCAGAAAAAGGAAAAAAGAAATCACTGAAAATTGTGATTTAAAGGCAGAGTTGGTAATTTTGCAAAACCAGCATGATTTTGAAAGTAGCATTCACTCAGTGCTCCGTCTGCACCCACCCCCTCCCCTCTGTGCTTCCTCTAAAGCCACGCCCCCTCACTTACATGCACGAGCGCCGTTGGTCCTGAGTGGTAGAGAACAAGCAGGGAGACAGGGAGGCGTGTGATTGGTTCAAAAGATTGGTACCAGCGTGACTTTAGAGACGACCTAGCATCAGTTCTCCGTCCTGTGCTGCTAGCTGGAAATGCTATCTGTGGTTGCAGCTTTCACTACACAGTACACAGAGGTGGAATTGTTGTCATGATCACTGGTTAAAGTTAACGTGTGAAACCTGTTATACTGCGGCGCAGTTACCACCAACTCTCAGCACAAGGAAAATTATTCAGTTTGACTGTTCATCGCTGTTAGCAACAAGTTTTAAGGTCTCGTTTCGGAATCAAAACCAGTTTTACTCGGTCTTGTCTCAGACTGAGCGGGCTCCAGATTTGAAATCAAGACCGGTCGAGACCACCACTGATTTTTCAACGTCATCACTGTGTTTAGAAGGAAAACGTTCCTTTCTAAAACAACAAATAACTTATATTCATTCATAATTAGATTTTTATTTTCCGGTTACGGCTGCAACCTTCCCGGTGTAACGGTCTTAGTGAGTGACACGCCCCCTGAACACAAGAAGATGATTTTTCTGTAATATTTATGGTCTTGGTCTTTTCTTTGTCTTGCCCTGACTCAGTCTAGGTCTTGACTCGGTCTGGATCCCTAAATGTCTTGGTCTTGGTCTTGTCTCGGTCTCAGAGAACTCTGGTCTCTGGTATGTCTTGGTCTCGGTTAGTGTGGTCTTCACTACAACACTTCTTTCTATACAGCGTATTTAAGGATGCATTTAACCCTTTGTGGGAGTTAAGTCAAGCAGATTGTGTCTTTTTTTGAGGATTATTAGGCGCAGAAGAAGCCTTGCATCCTGTGTGCTATCACAAGAAAGTTCTACATGAGGACTATTAAAAGATTGGTACATCTATTATCTGTCATGGGATATTTTTATCTAAATCTAGCATCGTGTTCACAGAGTTTCACATACCAGGCCTCAGCCTTGGATTTTTTAAAAGTGGGTCTCAGGCTGGGAAAAACAACAGGGTGAACTCCTCTTATCTGTAACTAGCATTTGTGGCACGCAGCTAAACTTAGGGTTGTCAGGTCTGAGTGACTGGGTTCCTTCCTGCGTCTGAAAAGAATGAGCTGATTGTTAACCGACACACAAATCACAGACTCTATAAATCACTGCCGATGAACAAACACATTTCTCATTTTATTCAAAGCCACGATAAACAAAAAATACCAATCTGACATTTCCACCTCTAGAAGTGAAACGGCTGCAGCAGCAGAAGGATTCAAAAGTCATGTAAGGTTTTTTTTTATCAGACATTTACAGATCCAGATCGCAGCTTTCAATCCCACTTTAACAAAGAGGTGAAGACATTCTCCATCATCATGTTATCAAATGGGAAAAACCTCACTAACAGCAAATGTAAAAACCATTTTAGGATCGAGAAGGTTCTGAAAAATGGAAGGGGAAAAGAGGGGACTCCTGGGTCATGTGGCGAAGATGGCACGGATGATTAGCTAAGCTCTCCACGCTATCAAACAGTCAAGCAAATCAATGTGCTTTCTACCATGTTTCTTTGAAGATAATATGTGCAGGTAAATCTAAAGAAAGCCGATCCACATGAGTACAGCAACCACCAGAAAACAGAACGCTCTGACTGACATGACGGAGATGTAGTTTCCTCCTCGTAAAAACAAGAACCGCAGAGTGTCTTGATCTTATTCAACAGTCAGAGGCTGTTAGAAGACCCATAAGAGCACGAGTCCAATATTAGCTGACTCCCAGCAACCTTTAGGAACGTTGGATGGTCCTCCTCCTTGTTTAGAAAACTCTAACGCCACTAGGGATGGGCATTACTGATAAATAAATGCTTGTAATCCTTTTTATGCTGGTTCTAAAGATCATCTTGTCAGATTTTCATGTGGTGTGAGGGGTGTTCAGAGGGATCAGATCTGGGGGTCACCGGTAGTCTATAGTGGTCATTGTCTGCGCCCCATGTACCGAGGCTAAAGTCCTCCAAGCCTGGGCTCCTTTCCTGCAAGCCATTCCCACTCTCTCTCTCTTCTCTAAATAAAGACATACAAGCCCAAACATGAGTGTGTGAGTGATCCATTCTGAAAGTCAGGGTCTCACTGATTTCAAATTCTAAATGTTGAACTTTCATTGTTAAGAATTGACATCCTGTAACTTCGTCCTAATCCCAAATTAGCTGCTCTGTGATTAAATCAGTATTATTCCCAAACTCTTATCTTCAAAGCCTTTCTTATTACATCCATCCAGATGCTTACAGCTGCATGAATTTCCTCCCAACAGTCTGCAGTTTGTACTTTTTAAATCCGACATATCTGGTTTTGGAGCCGCAAACTAGCGGCTAAATTCTTTCAAGTGTTTCTCAGCGCCGGTCCTGCTCAGCCTCTCCCCACCTTCTCCTTGTCAGTTCAGGTTTTTGAAAAGAGGGGGTAAGACCACTGGCATGCCTCAGCTTTGATTAAAGGAAATGCTTACATCACTCCGTCTCCAAGAGAAACAAGCCATTCGCTCGGCGCAGATGGCTTGTCCAATGGTTGAGGAGCTTTCCGAGGGGCAGGCAGACAGGTGCGCCCGCTGCAGACGGCATGGAGCACAGACAGAGGAGTGTTGCTGCTGGTTTATGTGTAACGTAGCAACAACAAAGCCGTAAATCTCTGTGCAGATTTACTGACTGTCAGGGGTTTTCCTTAAAGCTGGCCCTCCTTTTACAGATCGGAAATAGGCTGAGGCAGGAGCTCTTAACCCCCGGGTTGGGGGTCCACAACAGACCCTGAGAGTCTGTCTGATGGCATTGACTTTAGCCGAGTGGTGATGGGTTTTAAAAAGACTCTGCTGACTTTGTGACTGTATTTAGGGTCGTATATTTAATCTGAATCATACTGACAGATGAGGTCTGCAGAGGGGAATGTATACGATGCCTGAAGTGAGACGCCTTGTCCCTAAGCTAGCCCAAAGATCGCTCTTTCTTTTTGGCATTTTTGCCTTTATTAGGAGGGACAGTTAAAGAGATGCGGACAATGTGGGGTAGGAGAGAAAGGAGTAGACACGCACAAAAGGGCAAAGGCTGGGAGTCCAACTGCGACCGTCATCTGTGTTTAGAAGTTAAGTTTAATAATAGCCATCAGCCTCGTTTCCACCAAGCGGTCCGGTTCAGTTCGGTTGGGTATGCATTTCCACCATCAAAAATTGGGAATGATACCAAAAACTTGTTTGGTACCATTCCGTTGGGGTGTCAAGGGTACTAATCCGACCCTAAAGGGTCCCTCTTGTGTACTGAGTAACGTTCTTATTCTTTGTTGAACTTAATTAATAGCAGACTGCACAGTGTTGGGCTAGCTGACGCGACTATCTCAATCTGGCTCACACTCCCTTTCCAAAGTAAGGGTACGGTTGGCTGTGGAAACACAAGTAAGTTCAGGTTTTACCGTACCGAACTGTACTGAACCAAACAGGACTGTTGGTGGAAACGGGGCTTATTATTATAGTTATTGGCTGTAACTGTGATCATGCTGGGTTAGCATTACAAGCTAGCGGGCCGGTTGCTTCCAGACTTTCAGTAGTTCACCAGAGCTCTTTGCCATCAAGCCAACAAAGGGTGACCATATGTCCTGATTTAACCGGGATCATCCATGTCCAGAGTCCCAAAAAACATCTATAAATCACAAAAAAATCCCGGTGTTGAACAGTCCTTGTTTCAGTTTTAACCAACCAAAAGACACCACGCTAACAACACTGATTTGTCAGTGTGTATGTCAGTCAATGTCAGCCTGTTGCGACAGGCAGAGTAGCAGCTTTCACCTCCATGTTTACCATCAGCCCCGTTGTCTTCCTTCTTCTGTGCTGGAGTGAGCACATGGTACTGAGTTCTGCTGATGTTAAGGTCATTGAACATTACAATGTGTTAACCTTAGACTGGGACTGATAAATCTAACAGGTTTGATTTTAGTGGAAGATCAAGACAAGAAGAAAAGTGACTTTAGCAGGATCAGACCCAAGTTTTATGACCACCTGACACCAAAGGATGGAGATGAATGAAGCTTGGAACGATCTTAGAAAATGTTCTGTGACGGTAAAACCTTGTGTGGTTTGGTTCAAAGTCGTCATAACATTTTAAAGAATAATTAAAAGATGTGAATCCAGATTATTTGATGCAATGATTACAAGCAGAACTGAGAGGGACGTTTCTTTTAAATACTCATTTTGATGTGTTTGCAGCGGTTTTGTTACGCTGACCGCAGACACACTGCAAACCAAATCGAGAAATTCTCTGGTGAAATCACAATTTGGCATCTGTGAATATCATGAATTCCTTTGATAGTTTAGTCTACAGAGCCTGTGAGGGGGCAGAGAGCTTCAGACTGATGGGAGTTTTGGAGCTCAGTCAACCAGACATTTTTTTTTATTGAAGAGCAGTTTATGCAACTTTCCCACATTTTGGAGCATGTCAGATCAGCACTTCATCACTTGACCTGTTATTTATACATCAGAAATTCTTTACATGCTTCATAAAAAAAAAAAAAAACTCTTGAGCGTGGCCAACAAACGATTCTTCATTTGACATCTCGATGGGCACAATGGCAGATAAGTGCTGGAAAAAGGGCATTTTAGAGTATAAATCACCACGCTTTATAACTTTTTACAACAATCGGGAGATACAAATCTGAAAAACGACAACAAAAGAGTAAAAATCAGTCTCTGATATCTGGATGTTTGGCTTCTCGTCACCACATTACACAGAAGTTTAAGTGATGGGATGATGAACAGCATCACCTCCAGGAGTTTCTTTTCCTCTGTTTAGTCTTAACAGAGTCTTTGGTATGCAGTCTGATAGTCCACTTGAGTGTGAAGAGCGATGTCTGCTGCATAGTTGGGAGTTCAGTCACAGTCTGTTCAGTCTTTTAGGTCTGACCTTAATGAAAAGGAAAGTGCAGATCGGGTCTTTCCGTCTGTCTTTCTTCGCTACCTGCAGCCGCACGACTCCACCACCATGTCCTCGTACTGCTTGTAGACGACGTTGTTGGCCGAGTCGATGTAGAGGATGCTGATCGGGCTGAGCCGCGTCGGCACGCAGCAGGTCGGCGGCGTCGACTCCGGGTCCATGGAGTTCATCAGGGTCTGGATGATGGCGTGGTTGGTGGGCTCGAGGTGCGAGCGGATGGGGAAGTCGCAGGCGCCGTCGCAGTGGAAGGCCTCGTACTCCAGCGGTGCGATGATCCAGTCGTCCCAGCCCATCTCCTTAAAGTTCACGTGGAGTCGCCGTCGGTTACACCGCGGCCTCGTCTGCATCTTCACCACCTGGTGCTGGGGGAGGGATGGCGGCAGCGGCTGCAGGGTTTTTTTAGCCCCCCTCGCGGCGGGCGCTCGCCGCATCCGCCGCTGAGTGAACAGGTATTCATAGACAGTTTTGTTGTCATGGCCTGACCTCGCTTTAATCTCGTTGTAGAAAAGATCCCGCTTCTTGCTTTTGCCGAACGCCAGGAAGAAGGCCTTTTCCTTGTTGCTCCTCCCGGGTCGAGCAAACCCGAGAGCGCGCAGGTCCACGGGGCGGCCACCTCTGTGCTCCTGGGCCTCCAGTTCAAAGCACAGCTGCTGAGCGAGCTGGTTCTGCTGGATTTTAAAGCCCTTAAAGACTTTCCATATGTCAAACACTTCCCATTTGCTGCCAAATCCGCCTCCGCCGTGCAGATCCTCCACGGTTTTGGTCTGCAGCAGAGCAGCCGGTTGTTTACCTGAAGCGCAGGTGTACAGCTTCAGGCACGGGGACGAGCCTCCACCACCCCCTCCCCCTCCTCCTCCTCCTCCTCCATCAGCGGCTGCAGATCCAAAGAAGGCTCTCCGGGGGTCAGACAGGCGCTTCCTCAGGATGCGTAATTCAGCCCCCAGGAGCCCGTCTCGTTCCAGAGAGCTGACATTGAAGTGATACCTCTGCCGTCTCAGCTGGGGCCCACGCTCGTCTGCGAGGGAGGACACAGACACAAAAGCAGAGACGAGAAAATATGAGTCAAAGCTGAGAAAAAGGCAAATTCATACACACAGAAACAGACAACTACAACCTGTTCCAAGAAACAGACAGATCAAATCTAGATAGGTACAAACATGCAGGTAGACAAACAGACAAACCGAGCAGACGTTTAGAAACACACCTGAAGACTGAATGATAAACAAGTTCAACAGAAAGTGAATTGCTAGTTTTTTTAAATCTAATAATCTGCATTCTCTGGATGCAAAGAAAACAAATATTTGCCGTCTCCAGAATCTCAGATGTCTCGATAACATCTTTGGATTTTTAACTCTTTGACCTTTGAAAGCAGCATTTGGGAAGTGACATTCTTTGTTTTCTGACATTTTAACCTCCTAAAGTTTTCTTAAATGACTCAATGAAGGTATAAAACAAACTTTTTAGGATTGCTGATGCAGATAAAATATCAGTCGCATCCTTTGTGTAAACACATACCGTAGACAGAATGAGGATCAGGACTGAGATAAGACAAATATTTACACACATCCTTCCAGCGAGCTAATATTGCTCCTGCAGGCAGATGCTAACACACACACACACACACACACACACACACACACACACACACACACACACACACACACACACACACAGGAACATCAGGAGGAATGAACTGAATGGTGTGGTGTGTAATGTTTTCTTTTGTTGTCAGTGAAGGAAACCAGTGAACCTCCGTGTCTAAATGAAATCCAGCAATGAAATCCACTAAAGTACACACACACACACACACACACACACACACACACACACACACACACACACACACACACACACACACACACACACACACACACACACACACACAGCAGCAGATCTCTCCCTCTGTTCACTTCTTCTCACGTTATTCCTCCCCCTTGTATCCAGGACTTTAGCATGCATTGAAAAGTACATTAGAACCAGACAGAGAGACCACATCAGACTGTAAACAGACCCGTTACTTTGGACCTGCAGCTCTCAGCTTTGGAGGAAACAAACTGTCAACAACACACACACACACACACACACGCAACACACACACACAAAAACAAATCCTGGCGTTCCTCTCAGGAAGCTCTTAAAAAGCTCATACTGAGAAGAATTTGTTTTAATAAGCGTACAACAACATTGAGGATAAAAGTGCTTTAAAGATTGAATGTTTGGGGGGGGGGGGGGTCTACGGAGTTAGAGCAGGTTGTTCTAAAAGGGGACTGATAGTTTGGCCCTCTGCTGCTCTCATACTTTGGAAAATTATTGAACGTGATAATGGACGTCCTCTGAAAGCTGTGACACTGCTGCATGAGTTTGCATCAAATCAAATTGAGGTTTTTTAATGCCACAGGTTTGACACGGTACGAGATGGTACAAAAAGTACAGAGGCGACCATGGACCACCAACTCCTCCATGAAACTAGCGACCCAAATTTCGAATATTTCTTCCACCAATTGTGCTATTTGTGCTCCATCAGGAGGGACTCGAACACTTGTACAGTTGTTCTGTAGCAGAGGAGGCTTGCTTTAAAGGATGTTGCTGACGGGTCCATCGAGTGAATACTGAGGATTTGGCCTCCTTCATTAATGACATTAAAGGTGCACTATGTAGTTTTGGTAGAGAAAACTGAAAGTTGGAGAAGTGCACAGATATGTGGTATATGTTCATAACTATTCACACAAACCGTCCTCAGAGGAAAATGTGCTCCCCTGAACTCTGTTTGAAGATAAAATGCTACACGACAAGTTATGGTGGGGGCCACAACAGTGAAAGCGTAACTCTCCTGGTAGCTTTTTAGCTCCAAACAGCATCCAGGGTCCCATTTTTTCCTTTGAATAAAGTTTGGGTATTGGTTCAGAAAATATAGCATAGAATTGTTTCACTTCTCCAACTTTCAAATTTCACTACCAAATCTACACAGTGCACCTTTAAGCTTTCTATCACTGACAGCAGTCATGTTTCTGTAGAATGATGATTAGCCTACCTGCTGGTAAATGATGCACTCTAATTAATGGAGATGTGTACTTGCAGAGTACCACAGGCTGCTGACAGGTCCATCAGGTGACTAACATGACGAGGCATCCTTTTTTGATGACCTCCGATTTCTATCACTGCCAGCAGTGTCCTTAAAGTGGAATGATTGCTCTTTTAGCCAGACTGGTTTGGATCAAAAACCTTATTCTGAAAGAGAGAAGTCTGAGCTACTTCTCCACCCAAAATGAGATGCTTGTTCATGAGACAGCTCTGGAGTCTTAAACATCAGGGTAACGTTGGCCTGCTGCTTAAACACTGCAGCCTGTCTCTGCAGTTTCCAGGCTTGATTTTGGGTGAGACAGCTGACAGACAGTGAGACACTGAAGCTTCAGTGTTTAGCCAGCTTCATCGGTCTCACACAGTACACAGTGCTTGTTTACATCCTGGTAGTATAAGAAAGAGGAGGCCCAATAACCAGAGCTACAGCCAGTCTTTGACCTGCTGTCGAGTTTGAGCACAAATTGACCGGCATTGAGGGTCAAGATAATATTTACAGATTTATTAAAAAGAGCAATATGTAAGTCTGACACTCTGACAGTGTTTAAAATGAGTACTGCAGTCCAAATTCAAAACATTATAGAGAGCTGCCCCCCTCCTCCTCTCTAAGTCGATGCTCACTCATCACCATGTGGTGGACACTGAAGCTTCAGTTTATCCAGCTCTGCATGGTCTGTCATTTTGTGTTTCCTTCTCCATCAGAGAGTAAGATACCTTTATCATCTCACTCTCTACACAGCTCACTGATTGATCCTTTAGAAGAGTGCTATGTTAAAGGGTTTGGTGAGATGTAATTATCTGACATCTGAACAGCATGTTGTAATTGAGTGAGGGGGGAGAAAGACAAGAAAACAGAAGCAGAAAAAAAGTGAAAATGAATGTGAACAAGTGTGTGGGAAGAGCGGTGTCAGGCCATCAGTTACACCTCGGCTCTGCCCCTCCACATGTGGACGAGGTCAGCAGCGATTTGCTGAGGACACCCTAAACAAATAAAGCCCAAATTAAAAGTACATTAAGTGCCTGAAATGTAAACCTTTAGCAGAGCTAGAAATATTAAACTCTGCTCATTTAAACATTGTTTCAAACAGTTTTACACCCTAAAGATAACATTACACAGGGGGGCCACCCGACTTGTGGCTGTGAGGAGTGTTTATTTACCCTCCTGAGGCCGTATATCACTGAGAGCAGCATGGCCGCCAATGACTGACCAGATGGTTCAAACACACACACACACACACACACACACACTTAAGGAACCCAGATTAAACAGCACACACAGATAGCATGAGCGCAGACATTTGCCCTAAACTCAAAGACTCTGAAAAACGTGATTTGTAATCAAAAATCTCTGGCAGTGGGTGCTGTTTGATTAGGTTTGTTTGACAGTGATGGAAACACAAGCAAACAAGCAAACGACTGTCATTAAAACGTCTTATTCAAAGTCTGATTCATCCAAGGTGGAGCATAACAAGCTGGCGACATCGCTTCTTCCCGATGCCTCGCTCCCATTCAAAGAAGGGTGAAGTGGATCGAGAATGACCCGAGTGCTTAAAGGTACAAAACGTTAAATTTTACACAAACATGTATCTAAATTAACTAAAAATGGACGAAACCTATGTTTTATTTATTTTTTGTTCAGTACTTACAGTACATAAAATATTTCCGACAGTTATCAAAGACAGAGAAATCCCTAATTTTAAGTTGTAACCGCCATGATACGTTTATCGTTGCCGTGGAAACACCGGACATTACATCAAAGGCCACTGCATAAGGAAGCTTGAGCTGCTCCTGAAAGCTGCCGTACTGTTGCTGTTTGTGCTGCTGTGATAAAAACATCATGTAAATGATACTCGGATACATCAGCTCGTCTGTAAACATGTTCTCCTCCTCCTCAGGTCAGTTTCGCCCGGTCGTCATGACTACGGTCAACCTCGGAGGTCGTTTTCATTGGGGGGTGGAGTAGCAGATAGAATCACTCCCATGATTCCCCGTCAGCCTCGACGTCATCTTTTGTTTATTGTTTTGATTGAGAGCCCCCTGGTGGTGGAGTTCACAAACTGTGACTTTAAATTCTTTGTGCAAATTAATGAAAAAATGTGTAAAAGAAAAAAAAAAGTCTCAACGTTGTAGAGCAATTGAGAAAACATGTCTTCTTAGACTTTTATGGAACTAGCGTTGTCACGGTAACATAATTTAAACTTCACTATGATGTAAGTGAAAATCAAATGATTTCGATACTTGTTTAGAACCACAGCAACAAAATTAGAATACTCGTCTGTTCTTCTTTTAAGTTTCCAGAAATGGAAGCAAACTTATTCCAACTGCCTAAATTAACAAATACATTGGCAACACTTGTGTTTGTTCATGTTTCGACAGGGACACCACTCTGTTCTCTGCTCTATTCTTAAGAAACATAAATGTAACTTTAACACCAAAAGGACTTGAGGAACCTCATTATATGCGGACATGTGAACCTGAAAACGCCCTCGCTGCTCTCTCTCTCTCTTGCTCGTGGCAGCTTTTGATTAAAATGTCATTGTTTTTTTTTAAAGCTTTGGTACTTTTGGATATATAATTAAAAAAACACATAAAAAAATATGATAAATTTAAAATGCGCAGTATTGAAAAATATCTGCCGTTTTGACAACTTTAATGGAACACTTCTACAGTTTGAACAATAACTGAGTCTGCAGCAACGAGCCCCCGGATTATTACAGAGACTCCAACGTCTTCTTTAGAAGAAAAAAAAAAAGACCTCAAAAACCCGGCTGGCGTCGGGCTGGGGGCCGAGTCGGGCAGGGGATCTAAGAGCTTGATGAAAACAACCGAAATAAACCGAGTTAAATAAACTGTATTGATGCTTGTCCACTTTGGGCTTCCGTACTGAACCTCTTGAGGTCACTAGTTAAAAATGTTGTATCGTGTATGCATAAATTATCAGGTCAAGTCCCTTCATAAAACCACAACTACAAGTTTATATACTCCGGTTTGGCAGGTATGAGAAGAACGAAATACTCAATAAATAATGAGTTTTTAGAGTTTTTACAAGGTGGTGTTTGACGCCTTTAGACAGAGCCCAGCTACCTCTCTCTCCACCTTCTATTCTTTATGCTAAGCTAAGCTAACAGTTGTTAGATCCAGCAGGTATCAAAGCTTTATCTAAATCGCGGAAGATAGCCAATGAGCATGTTTCCCCAAAAAGTGGAACTCCCCCTTTAACACACAGCGTTTAGTGACATTAAGATATGTGATAGCTCACTCAGCCTCGCTGCAGCTTTGAAGTCAGTTCCAGCACATTTATGTGTAACAGAGTCATCTCTTTTCCCATCATCCCCTCTGCGCGTGTGTGTGTGTGTGTGTGTGTGTGTGTGTGTGTGTGTGTGTGTGTGCAGGAGCAGCTGACCTTCCTGACTCTCCTCCAGATGCTCTAACTCCTCTTACCTCATGAACTCCTCTAACAGGCATGTCTACATTTAGACAATTTACAGCCCTGTTTCCAGCACCGCCCCTCCTCCGGAAACCTGCAGACAGCAGAGTGCCTGACCTCCAGTGCGCTCAGTCACACATCAGACATCCATCATCTCCACATCAGTTCATACTCATCCACTCAGCCTCTGATTCCTCGGCTCAGTTGCTTCTTAAGTCTGACATTTTCTGATTCAAATATGGTTTATAAGCACCGCCGCTCATCTAATAATCTATGGATGGATTTCAAACCCAGGTAAAAAAAAAACACTCTCAATTTAAGTGTGTTACTGCCAAACAGGGTTTTCATAATAGCACCTTCACACTGTCTGAATTGCACAAATATGTTGGCACCGTTTCCCCACCGTACCGTATACTGTGCTCTCCTTGGTAGGCCTATTGATCATTTTGACAACCATCAAATTTCAAAAGTCCTCCCTCAGACATGGACCAACCTTTTTTTTTATTCTAACTAAACAAAAGCGATGAAGATCCATCAATTAGTCTTTGTTGTGTCCTCCTCAGGAAAAGGGAAATTACTTTAAACCTTTGAGGATCTTGTGTGACAAATGTTCAACAGCATGAGTAACATGTCTGAAAAGAGAGAAAGAGGTTAGTCAGCGGGTTGTGTTTACCTTGCCCTTTATCCACGAAGCTTGTGATGGTGTTGGCCAGACCCGCTTCATGCAGCGCGCTGCTGTTCAGATCCCCGGTGGAGAGAGACCAGTACAGCGACAGCATGTAGTCGTGGGGGGTGACCAGCGGCTGTTTGGGATGCGTTTCCCGGTTGTTTGTTTTCGGGGGTTTGAAGCCGGCTCCCCTCTGCGTCACCACACCCGCGCTCTGTTGCTGCTGTGCCTGCGCCCCGGGAGCTCTCTGAGGTGGCGCGGTGCGTACCGGAGAAACGGCGCTCACTCTTGGGGCAACTTTCCCAAATTGTTTCCCTGGCAGGCCACCCCTACCACCACCAGCAGCCGCGATCCCGACTGCTTTCCCAGCTGCATGCGCGCTGAAAGCCGCGGGAGCGTGCGCTTTAACGGGAGCATCCCCGGCGGGCGGCCAGGAGCGCACAGCCTCTTTGCGCCCTAAGCTCACTGGTCTGTCTCGTTGTTGTTGCTGATGCTGCTGCTGCTGCTGTGCACGATTCAACGACACTGATCCGCCGCGCTGTAACGAGGATGAGGACGCAGATTCCTTGGCTGCAAGTTTCGTTTTAATAACAGCCGTTTCGCCCTTTATTAACGGTGGACCTGCGCGGATCCGCGTAATCCTCGCTAGACTCACCGGTGCAGGTTTCCAAGTCCCAGGAGGCGTCACCACTTGCCTTCCAGCGGTTGCTGTTCCCCCGGTGCTCACCCGGCGGCTCTGCTCCCCTTCCCCGCCGCCTGCTACCCGCTCCACTGCCTCTCCAAGCCGATGCTGGTGGTGCTCGCTCGGTCTGGTCCGGCTGAGTGAACCGAGGACGGGATGCAGGTAAATGAGAGTCCAGCAGCTCAGCAGGAGGGACAGACGCTTCACAACTTTCATCCTAATGTCCTTGAGTCTTTATCCAGGCCGTCATTGTATTAAACATCAGTCCGTTCAAAATGAATTGATCCGTTGGATTAAAATCAGAAGAGGGAGAAGTCCTGTTCGGTCCGAGTCTCTCATCCTCTGAGTTTGTTCTTTGCTCTGAAGGGAATGAAATAAATCAAAAGTGCCTCTCTCGCTGCAGACACATGCGAGGTTGTAAAAGCAAAGATGTGGACTACAAGTGAGTTTAACAAGTTGAAGAAACAAATCCTGCAAACCTATATTCTCCCATCCGTCATCTGTAAGCACCATAGTGCTGCAGAGATCCTGCCCGTGGTAGAAGTGCAGAAAATCCGAGAAATAAGGCTGAGAAAAAAAGTGCTCTTGCTTCAAACACTCCACGGCACGATTCTGCTGGATATCTTGTAAGAAACTTCTTTAAATCCCACTTTTTTTTTCCAACAGAGGCAAGAATGGCGTAATGCCGCTGCCTCCGGTTTTTTTTTTCTCTTTCCCTTCAAAGTTTGAAATCCGTCCAGGGAAAATATTTCACTCACACACCAACCTGCAGGTGCTCGAAAAAAAATCCTCCCAACAAACCTGAGCGCAGGAATTGGACACGGAATTCCTGAAAGTCGTTTTAATTACGCCGTGATGTCATGCTGTCCAAAGTCATTTAACAGCAATATTCTCAAATCTTCCTCCCCTCTTTTCCACCAATGACTCGCACGAGCTGTAACACAAAATGACACAAACACCCCCCCACCTCCCAAACTTTGCATTATGTCATTTAAAGCGAGCATTTTTTCTAAGGTTCCACTTTCTCCACACAACAAGCTGAGAGGGTCAGATGATGTCAGGGGAGTCACACACAAGTCATTGAAGAAGCATTCAGATCTTTTACTGA